TGCTAAATACTTAACCCACTTCCTCTTTTGGACACAGTTTGACCGCAAACTTGCAGAGGCGAAGGCCTAATGGGGAAAATGTTGTTTCTGGAGGGAGTCCAACAAGGCCAACACAAGCGGCTTGATGAACAGTGCTGTCGTAGTAAAAGCGTTAATGTGCAGGCTTTGGAGAATTATGATGAGGTTAGCTTAGCGCCTAGTGGAACGCATAATGCCACCGGTATTTGTTTATGTCACTTTGGGTTTTAATGAGAGGGGAATAAGTTAGTGAATGACTCTCTGGTGTATCTGGACATCAATAAAACAATGTTCCAGTCTGGGAAGTCAGGAGCAATTGATTATAGAATTGAAGGTTAAAGAGTCATCTTTAAGTCCTGTGACTCACCTACATGCATGGACATGTGGCGGGAAATAATTACCCTAGAATAATAGATTGACAATGTTTGTATGTTTGTACGTGAACTAAAACTACTGCTTATGAGACTGGAAGACTGTCTGTGTGTGCATGTATGAATGGGTACACTCCTCTTCTCCATCCCTCCGCTTCTGTCCCCAGTGGGAATACATGCATAGCAGCACACGGCTCCACAGCGCAGGCGTCCCATTGGGCAACTCCCTCCTGACTCCCCCTTCATCTCCCTCTCTGTGGGATGGTTGAAATGGAGACGTCAGTGCAGCAGAGCAGAGACAGAGCTCAGGCTCCAGTTACCTGGCAGCACATCTTCATTCTCAGCAGTCAGAAGCGAAGCAGTGAAGTGTGTGCAGAAGGAAAGTAAAGCTTACTTTCTGAAACTTGGACAGAGCAAACAGAGCAAGTTAATGGGTTTGACAATTAAAACTACAGTTGCTTTGAACTGTAAGAAGAGGATGAACAGGAATCAAAGAAAAGCAAGATAGTTTTTTTTTAATGTAGCACAGTAATGAATATAGAAAAAACTACAATTTATGGTAAACCATATGTAACATATGGTTCTGCCCTAACTATAACCCCTCTTGTTTTGTTTGTGCCCATCCCCTTTCCCCACATCATCTCGCTCTCTGCTGTTGTAGATGCTGGATAAATAAGCAAGCAGTTTGCTGCCAGTGTGTGAAATTGTTCTTATCTATCTCTGCCATTACAGAGTGGGTTCTATTATAAAGCTTTGCATTATTCAGCGAGCCAGGGAGACTGATCATTATGGATTTCAGCCCTTTTCCACACCAGCCCCAGGAGTCCAGCTCGGCCTGCCAGCTGATGCATGCCCAGATCTGACCTTGTGCTCCAAACACAGTGAACATTGGAGTGGAAGGGGGAACGGGTCAGTTCGAGACCGTGTATGTATTCACCACCAAACATGAAAGCAGAACATACCAAGTCCCACCAGCAGTTTGCTTTCAGAAAGACAGAGTGGGTTTGTAAAAACAAAGTCGACCTTAAAAATATGCCTGCAAGAGTGTCAGTTTCCAAAGTTCCTGGCCACAAATTAGATTAGTTACACTCTGGAAAGCTCAGTAAAAGCTGATTGACATCTAATGCATTTTTTTCTCAGCGTTACAGCAGGCTAAGTGGCAAGCACATGGTGAGAATGAGAGAAAACATGGCTGAACATATGGTGCTGCAGCACTTTTTTTATGTGTGGGATAGGAGATGAATATTGAATAGATATATGTGGCAAGCTGTTCATCCCTTACTGTAACCTGACTGTATCAGAGGTGGGCTGTCTCCTGGTGGGAGGCACTGCGCAGCTTGATCATCAACATTAAGTTGTGCACATCAAAAGCACTGAAAGCTACTCCATTTCCTCCCATTTGGTAAACGAGCGCTGTATTGCTGCTGGTCTGCTGAAGATAATGAGTGAAGCATTACTTGTTGATCTGCTGTTCAGACTATGAGCGCTAATGACAAGTATTGCTTGGTCTGCATGTGCTGAGATAAGGAAGATTTGTTACATGCTTGTCTTGGGCCCCCGCAATTAGACTCTGCCATTAACCATTTGTTATATCCGCTGTTTCTCGCCTTTAGCTTGGCACCTTGCTGATTACAATGTGCTGGATCGATAATTAAACAAATTAAGGTGGACTGCTGGGTCAATTTCCATCCCATCTTAGCCAGCGGCTGCCGTGGCGTCATGCACAAGTCTAAAACCCCTCTTGAAATGCAACAGAAGAAAATTAAAGACCTGCTACAAATGTTTGGGCTGCACATTCGTTCTCCTTGATGGCACAGTTTTACAGCAGAGCTCTGCCACACTGATGCGACAGGGAGGGAGAAGTCATTTTTCTCAGAGCAGGCGGTAACTCTTCTGTTGGCAGCAAACCTGTGACTTTCACATTAAGGCTCCATTCTGGGACAAGCAGTGCAGTGGTTGATGGCTGTGAATATAGCCCACTGGCAGAGGTGGGAAGGGACAATGTACTGGACATTCAATTGTGTGAGAAAGACGGAACCGTGTAGTTCACAGCACTTTAGAAGGGAAATCTGACATTTTTCTTATGCTGCTTTTTACTTCTATCAGGGTTGAAGTAACAAGAAGACACCTAACAAATTAACTAAAGGTTAGCTTACATTCTATTTGAGTAGTTTAATACTAGCATACATGCATATGATCTATTTACCTAGTGCAAAAAAACCACTAGGACTTTTGAAAGGAAAGTTTATATGTAGTGTTATATAATTGTGTAAAAGATATGGATACTTTTTCCATCCTTAAAGGAGCAGTGTAGGATTTTGGCATCAAGTTGCAGATTGTAGTTCCCTCGGTTCATCCTCCCCTTCCAAACTCAAAGGATCCGAAGCACGGGGAAAACACAAAAGGCCCTATCAAGAGCCAGAGACATGGTGGTCTCTGTAGAAGAGGACTCGCTCCTTCTTAGAAGAGGACTCGCTTCCTTCTGTAGAGAGGACTCCTCCTTCCTGTAGAAGAGGACTCGCTCCTTTCTGTAAGAAGGGGACTACTCCTTCTGTAGATAGAAATGACTCATTCTAAGATAACAAAAACATTTTTAATTTTAATTAGGCTTACACATGATAAAAACATACCATACATTTTATATTCCAATTTTGGCCAATAGATCCTCCTAAATGTTAGACACCGGACCTTTAATAAGTAGTTGGTAAAGACCACTTTAATGATTTACTAATTTTTTTTTTACTAATTTAATCTGAAAAACTGGAATTGGTTGAAAGGAAAAGAGGCTACACATTTCCTTGCAAAAACGCACATATAATGTAGTTTAAAGTAGTGGTTTACAACCTTTTTGGCTTGTGATCCTTCAGTGTTATCAATTTCCTCTGTGACCTCTTGTCACAGGTGAGTGATGAGATGAAAGTTCTGTTTTTTTTAGCATGTGGCTTAAGTTTAACAGTTTTTGAGGCAATAGAAGCAAGAGGCAAAGCTTGAACTAAAAAATCCCTCTGAAGTTCATATTTAGTTCAGTTTAGGTCAAGCTGTTTCCTTCCTACGTCACTGCCATCACTGGTGATTTGTTATACCAACATGAAATATGTCGGAGTGTTGCAGCTCTCCCCTCTCTTACTTATTAATGCCAGAGCCGCAGGGGTAGTTACGTAACCGTCTGTTTAATTATTTGGAAAAGATTTCACTTTCCTTTGAGCGTCTCCGTCTTGTTGTGGTGGGGTTTAACACGACTGCTATCAACAGATACGATGAGCCCAGAGCATCCCTCTATCGGGCAGTGTGCACTGACTGTACAGCGTCCCCTTACCTCTCTCCCCCTGCTGCTCCCAGGTATGGAACACAGCAGGTGTACAGTACAGACAACCGTAGCACTAAATACCAACGAACATAGAGGTCATACAACAAGTACACTCTTACTGTATAAGCAAACACTGTAAACCCTGTGAGCCACTTTATTCCGGCGCGAGGACGCACGATTTCACGGTGTGAGAGCGCGCCGCCACCCAGAGGAGAGAGAGGAAGAGAGGAGAGAGAGAGAGAGAGAGAGAGAGGGAGAGGTGGCGGTGGGGACTCCGACAGTGGGACAGGCTCCTCTGGAAGGTGGGGAGCGGCTTTCATTTAAGGTGGACCGATAATTACACATAACGCTTCTGCCACGCGTTATGGGATTCACATAAACCCAGTGGTAGGCTACCGGTCACACCGGACTGTGGGCTGTAACAGCGAACTGAACGCTGTGTTGAAGTGAGCATTGCATTGCCTATGAATTAAACGTTTCACTGGGAGAGGGAAATGTGTAATTGCCCATGTATAAATGAACATAGTCCTGCTTGAAGTACAATCTTAGAGGTAGGCCCTACTTTATATTATAGGCTAATATAATATCTATTCTATTTTGCTGCATTGCGCTACTTTGCGCCTTCTTCTACTTCTGCACTATATTGATCAAACAGTCATTTTGGAATCATTTTTTCATAAAACTGTGATTATATATTATTAAATGCATTGTTCGTTTTTTTTAAAAATCTCAGTATATAAAGCGAAATCATTTGTGTAGTTCAGCCTGATTTCAACACAAATCAACAATTGTTTCAAGGATAGTATCGAAATAGTGCCGCAACCTGCTTTACATTTCTTGTTTTAAGATACAAGTTTGTTTAAAATAAAAAAAAGCAGTAAAAGAAGACTTTTATGACTTAACTATAGACAGTACTGTGTATAAGACTATAGTTTAACAGTTTACAGTTAAAAGCTCCACCATGATCAGCTTCAACCGGAAAGCATCAGTGGTAACAATCCTACAAAAGATACAGCACTATGTAAAGGGCATAATAAGTCTTTCACTTTGAAAGTACCTCAGTACATCTCCCACCGATAAAGGCATATGAAGGATATAAAGAAGTCCTATTACGGTGGGAGTGTCTTTTTCCCGCTCCCAATGCAGGCCTAATCTAATATTCCACAGTTTCCCTTTTCTACATCGTGTATTCTCTCTGCTGCTGTAGGAGCGGACTGTGTGGGTGCTTTGCAAACAGTGGGGACGACCTTAAATAAGGGGCTGGACTCTGTAGGTACAGCAGAACCCGCTGCCTCCCCTCAGTGATGCAGTGAATGTGCGCTGCGTTATGTCCGCTATATAAAGTGCACACAGCCGGCAGAGCTCACAGCTTCAGTGGACAGCTCCGTGGTGCTGAAACCTCACTGACACACACTCACTCACACACACACTAGAGCCGCGATACATGACTGGAACCATGGACGGATCCTCCTGGAAACTTTTTCTACTTTCTTGCCTGGTTGTTGCGGAGAGCTCCGCACAAGACTTTGGACAGACGCAGTTTATTTGCACGTCGGTGCCCAAGGATATGGACTTGTGCACGGCCACGATGCAGAACAGCGGGCCGGCGGAGGACCTGAAGACTACGGTCATGCAGCTGCGGGAGACCGTGCTGCAGCAAAAGGAGACCATAATGAACCAAAAGGAGACAATTAGGGAACTAACGTCCAAGTTGAGCCGCTGCGAGAGTCAGAGCCTCCCGGCGGCGGGACCCGGCGGGAGACGGCCGGGGTCGAAGAACACGATGGGGGATGTATCCCGGGGCACCACGGACACCCTGGCGCAGCTGGGACAGACTTTACAGACGCTGAAACAGAGACTGGAGAATCTAGAGGTAGGCAAGCAGAGGAGAGCAGCGCTGACCGGGTCAAAAGTTAATTAAATTAGCCTCCCTGGTTGTTAATTAGAGTGAGGGTTAAACCTCTACTGCTGCAGTATTGCTCTGGATTTGTGCAGTCTCTGCCTGGAGCCCATGTGTTTTAGTTCATCTTTTTCTTGACAGAAAAGCATCATGTAAAGTAACGCAAGTGCAGGGTAGCTGCCTTTTTGAATAATGTGTCGCAGAGCACACACACATACAGTGAGAAACACGGTTAGGACTATAAGCTTCACACAGAGTAGAGGGGGCGTGTTTCAGCGAGTTTAACACCAGAGAAAGTATTCCCTGTAGTCCTTTAACCCAGTGTCTGTCTCCCTCTGTCCGATGCAGCAATACAGCCGAGGGAACAACACCGTGCAGGCGAACAGCCTGAAAGATCTGCTGCAAAACAAGATAGACGATATGGAGAAGCAGGTTCTGTCCCGGGTCAACACGTTAGAGGAGACCAAACCGGTCTCCAGGAATGACACCGAGCAGCGGAACAGAGTGGAGTCCACGCTCACCTCTCTGCACCATCGGATCACAGACCTGGAGAAAGGTGCGTTTTGGATTTCAGAGGGCGCACACAATAGGACTTTGACGGTATTGAATGTGGCTTTACGGGAGTTCTAAACAAGATTAGGTGTAATTTAATTGGTTTTAAAGCTCAAGGGCGCCTCAGTCTTTAGAAAAAAACACCTTCAGTAATACAGCACTCATGTGGAACCGTTAACAATGCCGCAACCATCACGTTGCGCACAGACAGTGAAAGGGAGGAGAGGAGAGCTGCATTGCTTTGCATATCTCAAGACCTGTTAGCACTTTTGCTTCGCTGAGTTTATGTTTTCCACAGCCAACACCTGACGGTCTAACTTGCTTATGGGCCTGTATGCAAAGGGGGATGATTTGGCAGAGGTCAGACGAAGCGCAGAAACTTTGCAGGGTGCGCCTCGCACTGGCGCGTTTTGGAGGCTTGTTCAGCTTTTCTACACGTGCAAATGCGCGTGCGTACCTGGTATGTGAGAGAGGGAGGAGACAGAGCCCTCCTACACAGGCAACAGACACACTGTAAAAACAGAGCTTCATATTTAATAAGAGATAGCGGCAATTTTAATGTTGCGAGAAAAACTATTAAAACTTCAGACAAGCTTTGTTTTCCTCCATTAAAAGAGACTCTAAACACATAAATCTCATAATATTAAAGAGTTGATGCATGTATAAATACATGTGGGTTTACCCTCCACTTACAGAAACAAATGCTGAAAAATACTCATGTAACTGACATCTGATCTACAGGTAAAGACACCAGGCCGACAGATAAATTTCAGCTCACCTTCCCCCTGAGAACCAACTACATGTACGCCAAAGCCAAGAGGAGCCTCCCTGAGATGTACTCCTTCAGCGTGTGTCTGTGGATCAAGTCCAACGCCTCCCCTGGGGTGGGGACACCTTTCTCCTATGCTGTCCCAGGTCAGGCCAACGAGCTGGTGCTGATCGAGTGGGGGAACAACCCCATGGAGATTCTCATCAATGACAAGGTAACGGGAAACTGGTTATCATGGAAAAAGGCTTATTTCACACATGTCTCACCTTTGCTGGGTATCATTGTGGCTTTTTACATGTAAATGTGTGGAACAACTTAAAGTGGGTGCAACAGTAGGAGAAAGTTATAGTACTTTGTGATTAGATGAGTCAGAGTAACCTGACAACTTTCCTGTGCCAGAGCTGGAAATGGAATAAAAATAGGTGGTAAGGTGAGCACCAGAAGGCCTTTTTATAGAGAAAAAGATATCTGACAAGGAAAGTGATTCAGCAGGAGGAAGAGAAGGTGTGGAAGCCACGAGATTTCAGGCGGGGAGTGACTCTGCTACTAAAGTGTGAAAGGGAGATTGTTAACTGGAGAGAAAGACGTGACTAACACAATGCCTCTGCTGCAGGTCGCAAAGCTGCCGTTCCTCATCAATGACGGGAAATGGCATCACCTCTGCATCACGTGGACCACCCGTGACGGGATGTGGGAAGCCTTTCAGGACGGAGTGATGCGGGGCAATGGAGAGAATCTGGCTCCGTACCACCCCATCAAGCCAGAGGGAGTGCTGGTCCTGGGACAAGAGCAGGTGGATATTCATTTTATAATCAGTGATAGCAACGTATAATAATAAAATAATAATAACCCTGAGACAATTCTTCATTTAGATTTTGGACAAAGATTAAACATGGGGATATTTCTTAAATGAGGTTGTAGAGACATTGAAGAGGTGCCCAATTAAGGCTTTCTAGTCAAATTAGTGTGCAATTTATCATCCTATCATGGGAAAAAATAACTTTTAAAATTTGGCCTGAATTTTGACAGGGAAATATTATTTGAGATTTTTTTTCTTACAGAGAAAATCAGTTTGTGGCACTGAGCAAGACATATTCACTATGAACAGACCAACAGAGAATATGGCCAAATTACACTGTCACACTTTTGTATTTTTGAACTAAAGCAGCTAACTAGTTTCAGGATTAAGCCATAACTAAGAACAAAGTCCTCTGAAAGGATGCCACATATAACAAAATCTTATCATACATTGTCAAATGCACATTGATTTAAGCATTCTTCACAAGAAAAAGCGTGGAGTCCCTGTTATTTCAACTTTTAAATCCTTCTCCGGACCAGATAACAAAAAATAGGCCTGCCAACACTTCCATTCAAGCTTTGACATGCACTTGCAGAGCTGGTGACTAACTCTTGTCTGCGTTGGTCCACAGGACACGTTGGGAGGAGGCTTTGACGCAACACAAGCTTACGTTGGTGAGCTGGCAAACTTGAATATCTGGAATAGGAAACTTTCTATCGCCGAGATCTACAACTTGGCAACCTGCAACAGCAAAGCGCCTGCGGGCAATGTCTTCTCCTGGACGGAGAGCAACATCGAAATATTTGGTGGAGCGACCAAATGGACCTTCGAGCCTTGCCGTTCGCTCAACTGAACTGAGTTTCACTGTTCAAGAAAGGCCTCTCTGTATTTCTGAGCTTTTGTCGTTCTTGTCTTCATTTGACGTTTGTTAGAGACTATTTGAGTTATTGGTAAGCTTAAATCTGGGATTTCTATCATTCTTAGGTATTTATGTGCAAAACAACACTTTTCATCTTGAGGAAAAAAAAATCGTCTCGGAAACCTCAGTGAGAAAGTATTGGTATCCTGTTTTTTTTCTTCTCTCGGACGTTCAGTTGAAAGCACACCTAAGCTTTTCATTTGGCTTATTTCCGTCTTGGACTGGCAGCTGGCAATCTGCGCCTTATGTTTGGACAATTCACAATCCAAGTGAGGAATTACATAACCACTCCCACCCCCCTTTCCCTCCGGAGAGTGGGAGATTACGCTGTCCATCCAATTCTTGTCAGTGTTTGGCGCTGTGAAGTGATGTCTGACGCGGTACAGCTCCCCGCAACCC